CTTCCTAACCAGAATGCACCTCGTGACCTCCTGCTGCTCTGAATCTGTGTCTGAATGCCAATCTCCAAATCGTGCTTCCAGGGTCTGTTATACAGAAAACATTGCAATCTAGCTTAGTGTGTCAGCTTGATTTGTAGAGGTGCACTTTGCTAACGTGGGTTTTGCTGGACTGTCCGGGGAGGTACTCAGGACCAAATATTTGTAGTTCTGTGACATTTTCACCATGAAAATACTTGAAAGTATAGAATGTAAGCCTATCTCCCTATCTCACTTCATCATCCCCAGGCCCCACATTAGCAGGTACCAAATTATGGCTGGCAATATGCACAGTCACAGCAAACCTCAAGCTGGGTGGAATTTAGGTGGTGGGGGTTTTCCCCCAGAACTCCCATGGATTCTGCTCCACAGGCCTTCCATGACGGGGAACTGTTTCCTGGGTTGGAGTCAAGGTCTGCACTCTGAATGCTTATGAGCATGCAGCTCCCACTATTGGAGTGGCCCCTTTGCAAAGCTGCCCTCCCTTCTTCAAATTTTCCAGTCCATGTTCCTGCTAGAGGAGGATTGTTCACAAATATACATTTTGCAGTGTTTTGTCAGGCTAGTTTGAAAGTGGCTGGACTTCCAACACTTCCCTTGGGAGCTTTCCCACATCCTACAGAGCTCTCACTGTTAGGAAATTTTCCCTTCCCTAGCTTCATCCCCTTAGGCCTAGTTTGTACTCTCTTTCTACCACTACCTTCTATCTCTTTGGTGTTTACTATATGTTAACTGTTAGCATGTCCCACTGCCCATAAGTCATTATTACAGCACTGCTAGTTACTGGTTAGGTCACCCTCCTTCACAGAACAGACTCTGACTCATAGGATAATGGTTATGAAAATCACAAAGATATAAAAGCCACTGCAATGAAAAGAAACTGTTGCTATCCTGAATTCTAAAATTAAAAAAACAGATGTTTTCCTTATACCTTCATAGTCTTTAAGGCCAGAAGGGACATCTTGGTCCTTTAGTCTGACCTCCTGCATACTGCGGGCCACAGAACCTCACCCACCCACTCCTGCAATAGGTCCAACACCTCTAGCTTAGTGACTAAAGTCCTCAAATCTTGATTTAAAGATTTCAAGTTATATAGAATCCACCATTTACAGTAGTTCAAATCAGCAAGTGTCTCGTGCCCCATGCTGCAGAGGAAGGTGAAACCCCTCCAGAGTTTCTGCCAATCTGACTTGGGGGAAAATTCCTTCCCAACTCCAAACAGGCAATCAGTTAGACCCTGAGCTTGTGGGCAAGACCCATCAGCCAGACCCCTGGAAAGAATTCTCTATAGTAAGTCAGAGACTTTCCCATCTCGTGTCCCATCTCTGGCTACTGGAGATATTGGCTAATAGCAGATGAAGATGGGCCATTTGCCATAGTAGGTAACCTCATACCATCCCCTCCAGAAACTTAGTAGTAAACTCAGTCTTGAAACAATCTAGGTTCCCCACACCCCACACCCCAATTCCCTTTGGCAGGCTCTTCCAGAACATCACTCCATCCTCTCATGGTCAGAAATCCTTGTCTAGTTTCAAGCCTAAACTCACTGATGGTCAGTGTATATCTAGTATCAACATTGGCCCTTAGCTTAAATAACTCCTCTCCCTCCCTGCTGTTTATCCCCCTATGTAGTTATTAAGAGCAATCATATCTCCCCTGCTTTTTATGAACGTTAACATTTTATTAACAAAATAGTGTGCATTGTTTGGAGAGAACTCCAAATACAAATAAGATGTGTATGTTTCATCAGCCATCTTGTTTTAGGGGGTTTTTTTTGGGGGGGGGAGGTTAAGTATAAAACATGATCACGGCATATGCACTAATTCCCTGTTTTTATTAATCTTTGCCTAATTTAAAATACTGTAATTAATAGGTAAGTACTTTGGTTTTCATGCCTTTTTTGAACTATTTGCTGAGGGGCTGTGCTGTACTTTTGAGCTATTACCTGACTTTCCAAGTACAGAATTACTGAAACCAGTTATTCAATTAATCAGTTTCTTTTAAAGAATTTTACCTGACAACGTGCTTTGATTCTGAACGTTTTCTAAGGAGATGCTGTGTGGTTTAATCGATAGGGTGCTGGATTGTTACTCAGGAGAGCAAAGGCCAGAACATCAGCTGGCATACATTGTCATAGCTCCATTGATGTCAAAGACAGCTGAGGATCCACC